TGCACTCTGCACGCAACCACAGTGCACACATGTCGTAACTGGTAACACGAGGGAATGTGACTAAATAAGACGTGTTACCTTGCATAATGCTATTTTCATTGCCACGCTCTGTGTGTGTGTGTGTGTGTGTGTGTGTGTGTGTGTGTGTGTGTGTGTGTGTGTGTGTGATTAATGAGGTCACATGAACCTTGATTTCAAACGTACTAAAATGTGTAAAAATAAAAGTTACATGAACCAAGTATTTCACATGATGGAAGCATATGATCATCGTGTTTGGACATGAACATACAAAAACAATTTGCGTACACATCCTTGATATCCGGCATGATACATAAATGTCTAAGTTGTGTAAACATTTGAAAAATTAAATTTATATATGTTTCTCCGCCTAAGGACATTTCCATGTTTCCACCCCTACTAAACTTAGAACGAAATCGGAAATTTCAGCACCCACTGCAATTAAAAGCAATGCATTGGATATGCTCTATGTTTGTTGGGGTATCTGTTTTTTAATTCATGCTTGAAAATCCGATCATAGCATGCATGAATGAGATGCTTGTGCATACGGAAATACAAGAGCGCATGTTTCAACGGTAAAGCACTGTATGAAATCTATGCCCGAAGTTAGGAAATATCAGGAAACGTACGTAAATCCGGTCATTTCCTACAGTGTTTGCGCATATTTCAATGGTGTACAATCCGGTGTTTGGCCCTGTGTTTTCTCTGTCTCTTTGCTTACGTTATCAAAAAGTCACATCTGCAAATCATGTAATATGATCAAGCCATTAACCTTATTCTTTTAATCATGATTTGTATGTGTGCCGGCTATCCGTATTCAGTTTTGTCACCCTGGTAAACATTGAGATTTTTCAGCATCTCCTCCGAGATCTGCGTGCTCAAGCTTTGAATATACGACGTTTCTTAAACATGCTTCCTTCTATCTGCCTTTTGTGAACTAACGTTGGAGACTGTTTCTCAGCCTTTTCTAATTATCATATCTAAGTATATGAGTATTTTGTGTTTTGTAAACGTCAAACAAATGAATTTATATAGAAGAATAGACGCGACAATGAAAAATTAAATACTCAATATTCGTACAGCTGGATACTACAGAAAATACATATATCTAAGATTCGAAATAATTAGTGAGTGAGTGAGTTTAGTTTTACACCGCTTTTAGCACTATTCCAGCAATATCACGGCGGGGGACACCAGAAATGGATTTCACACATTGTACCCACGTGGAACCCGGGTCTTCGGCGTGACGAGCGAACGCTTTAATCACTAGGCTACCCCACCGCCCCTCGAAATAATCAACTGAGGACATAAGTTGAATTGTTGTATGAATGAAGTACAAAGGAAAAGACATAGGAATGTAGGAAAGTAAAAAGTGGAGACAGGAGAGCAAAGAGAATAAGACTTGTTAAAACATTGGTTTGGTTTGATCAATCTTATTTTTCAGCAAATTTGGTATTGTCTCCTGAAATGAATTTTTCCATGTTGTGATTATGTTTTGTTAGAGGTAATAATTGCGTGAATATGGGAATAGTCTTATTGTTGTGACAATTTTGAATATAACGCTTGGTTATTATAAACAGGTGGTTTACAAGGATATTCTTGTTGGGAAACGATGGAAATACTCTGCCCACACACGGAAAAGATTATCTCCACGGCATATGTTACCAATTATTTCACTACGTCACTGACGAGGATGCTGCTGCAATTGGAAACAATATAATGCAGGTATAATATTATTACCGATCCATTGAAACAAACGCAAATATCTGTCAATATGTTAATATTCCATTTACAGAAGACAGAGCAATTTGGAGAGTATAAAATGTAGAATGGTCGTCCACGATTTCAACCCATTTCAGGTGTCCCCCACCGTGATATTGCTGGAATATTGCTAAAAGCGGTGTGAAACTAAACTCACTCACTCCACGATTTCAAAGGTCGTTAAACCTGTGTCATCAATGGAAAACATTTACAAATATTTCAGACGTTGTAAATATATGAAAATGATGACCATATGTACACGCATTGGTCAAAGTTGTTCATAGTTTCCTGACGTTCATTTATGTCCTGACCTCTGAAACAAAGGGAAGTTTGCGGCCAAATGACACTGTGATGAGAGAATCACGGTTAAGCATGCCCTGTTTTTGACTGTAGTGATTTTTCCATCACACGGGATCCACAACCGGGTCCTACATTCGTTCACTGATATCCATATACATATAAAGAAGGATATGTATATGGATATCAGTGAACGAATGTAGGACCCAGGTCGTATTATTTTCAACAATACAAGCCCCTGTGAAGGGATCAATATTTCAAAACTTTATCCATGAAGAACGTTTTTAATAATGTGAGATCTCAAGTAATTATTACATTCTAAAAAGAAATTAATTATTATTGCATCTTTGAAAGCAATTGATTTAATTGATAAATTGTTATTCTGTATTGTAATTAGTAAATGAATATTAATATGTTAGACTGTTAGTGCCAAAATCATCAAAGGGGGTTGAAGTAGCGTAAAATGATTGTCCCACTGAGAGGGAATGTAAGTCCAATTTAATTCAAAGGTATTTTTTCATACTATGTGTTTTGATTGCAGAATATGTGTTCATTTGATGTTTGACTAAATGTGACTACAATTACCAACGGCTGAAGGGATGAAGTAAATCCAGCTTGGGTCCATGTAAGTAGCAAAGGTGCTGTAAGTCCCCATGGTCCCTAGTATGGTTTGGTTTAAACATATTTTTATTTCGTCAATGCAGAAATCTGGATAGGCGAACAAGCCTAGTGGCTTATATAAACGCCGCTCCAGTACACGGTTCCAATATAGCTGGATACATATTTGAAATAGACGGACAAGAAAAGAATTATATTGAGACAAAATTACACTCAGAAAAATGATTGAATAATAAATATGTGGTTATGGTGTTGGTTGTGCCTCCTTATATGCTTTTGTTTTGCGAGAGTTGAATGTTGCAGTTACATTGTGGATGTAACAGATCCAAATGAGATCTAAGGAAGGTTTTAGCATGGAAACTGAATGTTAAACGACTTATCTTTTAAATGGTGAAGATTTAAAATTTGGGCTTGCTGTAAGCTTTCTAATCTATTTTCGCAGATAATACGGTTGTTAGGTGTGATTTTACTCTTGTTCTCTACGGGAGGCTGATGAAGGATCATAATTCATGAGAGTATCTTAGAATAAAGAAAAGGTGATAAGCACTGTTATAAGTTGCAACATATCTAATGTAAGCGTTACTTCTACTTTTAGCAGTCGCAACTATGGCTGACATTTTAGATCTTGGAGTGGAAGAAGATGAGGTGATGGATTTGGTGAAGGAAGAAAGGGTGGTGAAGGAGGGGCACCCAGGGATGAAGTTCGTAAAGTTCATTCCGAACATGGACTGCCCTGCCTGTCTAGTTACAAAGACGTTCCCATCAAGACGTGTGTTTGAAGAGCACTGGGCGCAGACACACCAAAGGATGGCAGAAGACGTTTGCATGCCCTGTTAAGCGGTGCAAGAGCTCACGTTCTTCAATGAAAGCCTTTAAAATATCATGTAGCCCATTCCCATGTCAAGTCAAATGTCATCACTTCCAATGTTGACAAACTGTGTGCTGAGGTGACCGTGGAGGTGGAAAGAAACGAGAATTCAGTTGACCCTGGGGTCTACTGTTTATCATGGCAAACATGGCGACCCCGGGGAAAAGAGGGCGGCGCAGAAGGGGAAAGCGAAGTCCTCAACCTTTGCTCTGCCCTGTCTGCTCACAGAAGCCACAGGGCTGTTCATCAAGAACCAGCTGACTTTAAATAAACCCACACCCCATGCCAACTGTGTGTCGATCTGTGCAGAGGGAAATTGCAGGCCTTTCGAGAGCGCAACACTACCTCTGCAACAGACCCTTGCTACTCGGCCTGGGGCGCAGTGGCCATCCTGCCAAGACATCACAAACTAACAGGCCCCAGTTGGATGAAATTCATCGCCAAAGGCTGGGAGGCGATGGCAGTGCTGCAGTCAGCTGAGGGGAGGCGTTTTCAGCAACAGTTGGACCAGCGTCGTGCAGCTGATGCTTTTATTAGAAGCATGTCTCAGGGCAGTGGCAGCCAACGGGCATAGGATACACGAGACAAGGGTGCATACTGTGTCTCAGTGTGGAGAATTTCACTTTGTTTCATTTTCTCGAATGTTCTTATCACATATCTTTTCGTCTTCATCTTTTTCTCTTTTGATTTCCCTGAGATGTAAGTTCTTGTGACTGGATTCATGTGGAAAACCGATGGCACCATAACCTGGAAAGTACAAAGCAGGAGCAATTCAAGGACTAATGAACTGTGTTTTGCAGGACAAGAGTGTTTTTGAAAGATGAAGAACTGTGTAGTACAGACTGATGATGGACAATATGTTCATGGAACCAGTTTTGGGCTACCCAATGTGACATTTAAAATGAGAGGGTGATCTATATTTTCTTGATATATATTCATATTCACTGGATGTGTAAGTATATGAAATGTGCATAAGAATTAACACAAGGTAAGGAATTATTAATGTATGTACATAACATCATATTTATGCAACATGTATTTATCTGAAATGCATAATTGTATTGTTTGAATTGTATTGTTATCCCTCACCGTGTAACTGTAAGGGCAAACTGCAAGAGAGAGTAGAAAAAATAGGATTATATAGCTGTATTAATGTAAATATGTTAACTCGGGACGAGTCTTCTTTCAAAAACGGGCTATTGTAATAGAACGAGGACTTTGTATTTTATCACAGATCGTGTCTCATGTTATCCAACTTCGTTCATGATTACATCTTTACATGTATTGTGTCCTCGTAAACAATGTATATTGTAGTTAAGAAAGTTCATATTAATGTATTTTGTCGTAAGATTTAATGGTTATGATTCGCTCCAGATATACGCCTGAATTGTCCCGCGATCTCCAGGCGATTACGTCATCAAACGTGTTGTTGATTCACAGAGATTGTTTATACATTAAATCTGCTGAAATATAAATGGATATTTGAGCAATACTTACGCAGGCGTGTTCCTGAGAGGTAACTTGTAAACTATATCCGTTTAATTTAATGTCACGTCTATTTGGATGTTAGATCGCATTCTTTCCTCGCTCTAACGTTCGGCGTCTTCTGCTATGCATTACCGGAAGTACGATGACGTCATATAGCATACTCTCGTTCTAAAGCAGTTAGAAAGACAACAGACTCACAACGTGTTGTAGTGCTTTTTGGGCTGAGATTTATTTTAGGAAATTCTGCATTACTAGAGTTTTATATTTGAATTACTAACAACTACATAGCTGCATTCTCCTTTTCTGCTTTGCGCACAGAAGTTACCTTGTTAAAGTGAAAATTTGGAAGTTTATAGGAATAATAGATTCGCAGTACTCTGGACCTGTCATAACGGACAAGTCGAGAAACTATAAAGTTCATTCACCCTTGCAGTTGCCTATCTTTGAATTGCTATTGTCATCTGTAAAATAAATAAAACAGCGAGTAAAGATTCACTGACTTTTATTTATTTGTTAGAATTTTCTTTTAATCCGTTTTTACATATATCTTCAAAACTGACGGTTGGGATGGGACATAAAACATATCCTGATTACCACGTCCCCCACCCCCAACCCGTTACAGATACGATGTGAAAACTACCTTATACGGTAACGACGCATTGGATAACTCAACAAATTGTGACATGAACAACTCATTACACCAGTTCATACACCTCTAGTTGTTCTTAAATAACGGCTTGGGGTGGGGACGTGGGTAATCAGGATTTGATTTTGAAGATTCCGACATGTATTTTACAAAGAGTGAATGACGTCTTCGAGTACCTCGCAGATATAATGACCACATGAACACTAGCTGTTTCTGATATATGTCGATTATATCTGTCTGCGTTCAGATCACTACAGCCGAGCTTGAGGCGACAATGGATGATTTGACAAAATCTAGTCCCAAAATTTAAATCAAAGTAGTTGTCAGTTTCTGTTGGATTTATCATGGTTTTAAACTGCCTCACAGAAATAGCGTTAACAGCTCCATCGGGCAATGAATTCCACGACATAATCGCGCTCGGTAAGAATGATTGTGAATATCTTTGTGTTCTACAGTTAATAGTTTGAATGGAAGTACTATATCTAAGATTATAGTTGCTTTGTTGAAATACTCTACCTGGTACAAGATCATTCAGATAATCAGGAGTCAGACGATGATACATTTTATAGAAAGTTATAAGTTTAGAGCGATATCGTCTTTGTTTCAGTGTGCTGTAATTGGTTTTCCTTGTATATTTTATCATGACTGGTGCCACGAACCGCACCGCATATAGTTCTTAATGCGTCTAAGTGTAAATTTTCCAGTAAAATCGCCTGTTCAATCGTACAATTATCCCATATATATGACCGCAGTAATCAAAAAGTGGTAAGATAAAGGAGTTATATGAAGTATTTAGCGTTTTCCGAGATAAACGATATTTCAAACTTCTCAGACAATTGATCATTGGACTTATTTTTCTTTACCATGTCACCTATATGAACTTTCCAAGAACAATCGCTTTGAAGTGTTATACCTAAGTGTTTATGGTTATCAACTTCTTTAATAGTCTCGCCATTCATTAGCAAGTTCGGCCTGGCATAATTTTTTCGTTTTACGAGTGAATGTTATACTCTCAGTCTTACTAGGATTAAAACTTACCTGCCACTTTCTGGCCCAGTCTGAAATTTTGCCAAATCATTGTTTATAATTGCGGCTGCTGTAATATGATCATCTATTATAGCATATATTGATGTATCATCAGCAAAAAAGGCGAATGTTACTGTCTATACCATCTACAATGTCATTAATATAAATGATAAACAGAAGTGGTCCTAATACGGAACCCTGGGGTACACCAGCTTCCACAGATTTGATACCTGAACTATATCCATTTATTACCACTTTCTGCATTCTACTATCTAAATAACTTACAAACCACTCCAAAAGTTCTCCCTGTATACCATAAGCATAAAGTTTATGAATAATACCTTTGTGCCAAACTTTGTCAAAGGCTTTACTTACATCGCAGAATACCGCTCTGATTTCCTTTCCTTGGTCTACGGCACTTGCGATAAAATTATAGAGATAAGTTAGTTGATTTACTGTAGAATCACCAGGCATAAATCCAGATTGTAAGTTTGATGAAATATTGTTATCCCTGAGGAAGTTGAAGACGTATTTAAAAATGCATTTTTCAAAAACTTTAGCGACAGCTTGTTAACGCTACAGGTCTATAGTTTGAGCAATCGTGTTCATCACCTTTTCTTATGAAGCGGAATCACCGAAGCTAGTTTCCAAGAAGTAGGATACGTTTTATTACGAAGGGAGATGTTGAACAACTTAGCTAACAACGGGGTTAAAGAGGTTGCAGTTAGTTTCAGTATGATGTTTCCAATGCCATCAGGCCCCGTGGCTTTCGATGTATCTAGACTCAGAAGAATATCGCGAACATCTACATTACTTATTGTGATAGATGACATAGGATGATCGATTTCACGCGGTGCGAAATCAGTCAGATCGGCGTTAGGGTCAGCAACTTGGGATTGTTCTGAGAAAAATGAGTTGAGTACATCAGCAATATCTTGTTCATTGTCATAAACTATGTTATTGCTGACAATTGATGGAAAGGACGATTTTATCGAATTTGTTTTAACATAATTCTTAACTAATCGCCACCACATTTGAGTACCATGAGTGTTATTTATAGATTCATCAACTCTTGCATCAAAAGCACGTTTTGCATTTCTAACTGTTGCTATTACTTTGTTCCGAAGTGTTCTGAACTTAGTCCAATCTTTAGGAAGGTTTCTGTTTTTTGCAATCTTATGAACACGATTTCGTTATCTTATTAAGGATCGGATTTCGTTATTCATCCACGCGGGATCTTTGGTTCTAATTGTTACAGTTTTATTTGGAATATGTTCATTCATGATATTCAATAACAAGGATGTAAGGTTTTCAGTGTTATTATCAACGTTCCCCGAAGAGAAAAATATATCTGAGTTTATCTCTTTGATGGTTTCATTCATACCATTAACATCCATTGAAGAATAATCATAGATTGTCCTTTTGAATGAATTCTTGTGCTGCATCATTTCTGCTATGTTAACAAATACGGGGCAGTGATCGCTGCATATGGGATCTAATACGCCAGAATCTTTGACAACGTCGACGCGAGAAACAAATATCAAATCGATCAAAGTTTTATTACTTGCGGTTATTCTAGTAGCATCCGTGATTATTTGTCGAAGGCCGTAGTAACTTTGTATATAGTCTATCTTTTGATTATTGCCATGAAGAACGTCAATATTGAAATCACCGGTTATAATTGTCTGCATATTAAGATCAACTGCGTTACCTATTGATTCATCGATCAAATTCCAATATTCGGAGCTCTTGTCGGCGCGATAAACAGTTCCAATCAGGTAGTTTCTTGTTTTACATTTAGTCTGTATCCATATCGCCTCAAGTCCGACTATGTCTAAATCAGACATCAACAACGCACAAATAGTATCTTTTACATAGACTGCTACACCGCCACCGCGAGTTTGTCTGTCTTTACGGAAAGGTAGATGGAAGCCAGGAATTTTTATATCAATGTTATTTGTATGGGAAGTTAACCAAGTTTCGGTTAGACATATCACATCATAACATCCAAGTTCAACTCTTAAAATATCTAATTTCTCCTTAAAACTACGTACATTTAGATGGACTATCCTTAAAGCATTTGTGCATTTAGGTCCTGGATTAGGATGAATATCTCCACAGCACAGTAACAAAAGTGAAATCATTATGGAAACACAACTGCCATACAGACAACGAAATTTGAATAGATGTTGATAAAGAGCAAATTTACCAGAGTGTTTAGAATGAAGTGCTGCAGCAAATGTACCCACTGCCTGTCTATACTGTGATATTTCAACCGACATCGAAAATTAGAAACTGGTGACAAATATAGTAGACAGTGGGTCTTGAGGATGCAAAACTGCATAGGCACACACCAACATCATAACTTAATGATATAATACGTAAACAAAACAAGGGCATTCTTTTCTTGTCACATTCATAACAGAAATAATCAAACAAACAGAAGAGGAAAGGGTAAAAAAGGAAAGACAAAAACATTTGTCTAGTTAGTGAAAGGAAAATTCGAGAAAATTTCATATATATAATGTTTTCAAATTGCCTATAAATGAAAGTGATATCAATTGCCCAAAATATCTACATCAAAACATAGTTAACAGTAGTGGGAATATTTGTATCCGTGTCGACGCATGTGCATGTGCGAGAGAACACGATGTGGGCGCTTAGCACGAGAATGTGTGCGTGCGTGTGTGTGTGTTAAGGATGCATGTTCAGGGCACAACCAAGACGGACTGGATACCTGTGCGATAAGATGCATGGTGTTGTGAAACAACGTGAGTACTGCTGTTTGTTACATATCCTATTCTATAAAGACAATACTTTACCACAGACGGAAATAAAAAGGGTACTATAAGAAATGTATAATAATGATTTGTATTGTACAGTAGTTGAGTCAAGTGTTAATTGACACAAATAGCTTATTGTGCACATTGTAGAAATGCAAACTATCATAAATGTATTGAACGTATCACGATCACTCATGAGTATGTTTTTCAGATCATGGTGACCTCTTATGTCGTAATTATCAGATCAAAACATAGCGTCCATGCGCTTTAAAAATGAAGCCGTAAACGTGTCAATTTCATTTAAGTGAGTGTTTAACGGGTTGCGAATTAAACACACACACACACACATACACATAAACATATATATATATATATACACACACACATACACCCGTGAGCATACACACACAAACATATATACATGTATATACATAAACATACATACAAATACATACACATACACACATGCATACATATATATGCATAGAAAGAGAGAGTTAACCTTTGATCATATTCATATGAATTACCCCAAATATCTATATCATATCATAGTTAACAGTAATGAGTTTGTATCCATGTCGACTCATGTCCATTGCAAGAGACCACGATGTGGGCGCTTAGCACGAGAATGTGTGTGTTAAGGATGCATGTTCGGGGCACGACCAAGACGGACTGGATACCTGTGCTATTAGATGCATTGTGTTGTGAAACAACGTGAGTACTGGTTGTACTGTTGTTTGTTACATATCCTATTCTATATAGACATATTTAATGCTTTACCATAGACGGAAATAAAAAGGGTAATGTACAAATGTATAATAATGATTTGGATAATACAGTAGTTGAGTCAAGTGTTAATTGGCACAGATAGCTTATTGAGCACATCGTAGGAATGCAAAATGCTATAAATGTATTGAACGTAGCACGATCACTCATGAGTATGTTATTCGACAACGCTGATACACATGTATTCTTAAAAACACCCGTGACCATCAGATCATGGTGACCTCTCGTAACATAGTTATCAAATAAAAATAAAAACTGTAGCGTCTTTAAAATGGAATCATAATACTGCTAATTTCATTTAGGCGAATATTTAACGGGTTATGACCTCAAAAGAATCTACAATAACCAGTAATTATAATCAAAACATACCGTCCATGAGTTTAGAGCGTAAAAAACCCCCACAAAAATAAATACAAATAAATAAATTAAAGCATCACCTGATTGTAGCCCAACATTTGCCAGGTTAAGAACCCAAAGAGAGTACAACACATGATTGTGAAGCTTCAAAGAAATACCATGCGGCTGACACTGCAAATATAATTACAATACCAGTACTATCAGTGATGGGTTGACATAGCATTAGAAATAACAAACAAAACAAACAAAAAACAGACAATCATAATGTCATAATAATTCACAACTCAACTTTTGAGGATGCAATGTTAGTCCATAGAAAGTCATAGATCAATATTATAGTCTTTTTCTTTCCTGGTGCCTCCTTAAACGCAGGATTTGATAGACGCTTACTTTTGTGCTGTTATTTGAAACCTTTCATCTCGGTGCTCCTCGTGAATACTGGACAATCACACACAACACTGATCACATTCCTCTTTCCATGGGCAAGTGATATTGTACCATGTGAACACTGACACATAACATTGTGTATTGACACTTTAACACCAATTGTAATTTGACACCTCCACCGTTGGTAACATTCCAACTTGGTATTATATAGTGTGCTACAAACATGCCAATGTGCATGTCACATTATGTAGTTCAAGTGTCATTTTTATAATATATATTAGCAATAGCCAATATGTTCTATCTAAGAGTGAACAATTGAAACATGATGAAAAGATAGTTTGTCATTGTGTTTACAGTTAGTGTGAGAAGAAACATTTTCATTTGGAGTTAGTGAGAGTCCTGGCTCAGCGAAATTACCATTGTCAGTCTAGTTTGATCATGGACTTCTTGTAAATGGGTCTTTGTAGCGACCTTTTTGAGCTTTCCGTCCTTGAACTTCACCAGGATGACTCCCCCCGTTACCCAGGTGGATTCTATCTTCCCCTCCTTCACCAGGCTTCTGGCTTCTTTTGCTAGCAGAGCTCTGGTTTTGGTGAGGTCTTCATTAATGAAGATTTTACTGACAGATCGTTGTTTGGTCTTCAGCTTAGACCTACTTGCAAGAAGGTTACGTTTGCTCACATTGCTGACAAACATAACGATGATCGGTCTTGGATGGGACTGGGGCGATGGAGGAAACCTTGGCACTCGATGACTGATATCGATGTCTGTCGGGGACAGGTCAACACCGATAGATTTTGCAATATTAAGAACCATCTCATCTGTGTTCTCATCAGCTACCTCTGGGACACCAGTAATTCTGACGTTATTGCGCCTTGATTATTGTTCCATCCTGTCAACTTTGTCATTTAAAGTTTCTATGAGTTCATCTTTTTCATCTACTTTGACTTTAAGCTCTGTAACCTGCATTTCGAGCTGTTTATTTTGTTCGAATAGTTGAGATATTTCCTCTCTGAAGGTGGGTTTAATAGCTTCGCCTACTGCTCTGCCGATAACAGAGAGTATCTCATTATTCTGCAGGGCTACAAGTAGCTGTTTTACGAGTTCACTAGTAGGGGATGACTCTTTAAATACTGCTTCTTCTCGGTACTCCATATCAGAGACAGACTCCGAGACACTAGCCTTAGTCGAAACTGACATAGTATTACACTGTCTCTTGGTTTCAAGTTCACTTTCAGGAGACGTAAATACTTCTTCTCTGTTTCGTTTAGATGTATTTGGTGTGTTTTCCATAAAGTCAACAGAGTAAACACGTGTGCTCGGAAAGTGGACAATATCAGTAATGGAGTTCAATCTATTTCACTGACATTTTCGAGCGAAACTAACATAGTGTTACACTGTCTCTTGGTTTCAAGTTCACTTTCGGGAGACGTAAATACTTCTTCTCTGTTTCATTTAGATGTATTTGGTGTGTTTTCCATAAAGTCAACAGAGTAAACACGTGTGCTCGGAAAGTGGACAATATCAGTAATTGAGTTCAATGATTTTCACTGACATTTTCAATCTATCAAATATCTATAAAGTCAATGACCATCCGTTCATGACAATTATATATACGATGTAGGTTGTATATATGCTCACGTTAGTGACATTTTCGGCTTGCAACCTCCTCTATTTTCTTCGAATATGTTGAAAAACTCACATAGGATTGTGAGAGCTGAGAGCAGCACGTCCAGCCATGATGACGTCACGATTGAACATGAGTATGGTGATCTACCTTTAGTTGTTAACGATCTATAGCCCACTTTGTATATTATATTGTCCCAAATAGTTATATAACTTCAAGTTAAAAGCTAGTCTTAACATCTCAAATTGTGATATTCTAGTTGTCCTACTGTCCTTTGTCGACAGATTTTATCCTCTAACTATTGTTAACGTACAGCCTGTTTTAGTCCCGATATGGTTGAAATAATTCTCACTCACTCACTAAATGATACATATATTTCCGTATATAACTGTAATATGTGGAATACCTCCAACTACCAACCATGACAATAAAAACATTATAATTAGGTTCATAAGCACGTACAATGCACATGTATGATTTAATTTGCAGTTTTTGTGTATCCAGTTCTTGTGTATTTTGTTCAGATTATATATGTATTAATAAAACAAAGGTTTTCTTGTTTACCAAACCAGATTCTTTGAGAATAAAAATATGTTTAAACCATACATACAATGTATATTTCCAACGTAGATCATATGGGCCTCGGGTTATAGTTATGTCCACACATTTTTGAATTTGGAAAATATTCTTTCGTGTTGTGTAATAATCATTACAGCACCAGCCACAGCTTGTCTGCATGCGATAGTTACATCGTTGCCTTTGTATATCAGATTCAGTCAAGTATCACAGTTGTGTGCTGGTGTCTGTGGAAAAGGTGAGTGGTTTAAGCAACTGACAGGTTGCTCTGTCGACTCTATTCTTTCGCTTTCCCCAATTCAGGATATTTAATTGGAATGATGCATTTTAGCATTTTTTCGTAACCTTTTTTTTTTATTTGTTGTTTTTTACAACTCCAAAGTTTAGAAACGGTGCCTGACATGACGACAAAGGTTTGTAAAATAAGCTTATAATCCCAAAAGTGATTTCAACATTTGGAAGATGGAATTTCGCTAAAGTTCAATTTGGACGATTTAATACTATAGCGTGTGCTGTGTAGTTTCATCTGATACTCACTATATATCCAATACATGTATATATCTTTCTGTAGCCTGCTCCTGTTATCAGGTACCCAGTGTATATCTTTCTGTAGCCTGCTCCTGTTATCACGTACCCAGCATATATCTAGCCCTAGCCTGCTCCAGCCATAAGCTAAACAGCTTTGTCAGCCTCTTGGGTCTACACACAGGGTTTGTCACGTCCTCCTGAGTCTGTGTTGTACACACGGGGGGAGGTTTGTCACAGTCTGTGTTGTACACGGGGGAGGTTTGCCACGTCTCCTGGATCTGTGTTGTACACACGGGGGAGGTTTGCCACGTATCCTGGATCTGTGTTGTACACACGGGGGAGGTTTGCCACGTATCCTGGATCTGTGTTGTACACACGGGGGAGGTTTGCCACGTATCCTGGAGTCTGTGTTGTACACACGGGGAGGTTTGTCACGTGTCCTGAGTCTGTGTTGTACACACAGGGGAGGTTTGTCTGTGTTGTCCTGAGGTTTGTCTGTGTTGTACACACACGGGGAGGTTTGTCACGTCTCCTGGTCTGTGTTGTACACACGGGGGAGGTTTGCCACGTATCCTGGATCTGTGTTGTACACACGGGGGAGGTTTGCCACGTATCCTGGATCTGTGTTGTACACACGGGGGAGGTTTGCCACGTATCCTGGATCTGTGTTGTACACACGGGGGAGGTTTGCCACGTATCCTGGATCTGTGTTGTACACACGGGGGAG